TTACGCTCCACTCTTATTTTGGAATCCTTGGCTTAATCATTTGAAGCTCCTATATTAGTATTTCTATCCCAAACTAAGCGGCATCGTTGGCAAGAGTTTGGTTAACCCTGTAAGTACGGTTGACACACCCCTCATCCGTACTTACCGAAGGAGTGGTAGAAATTCTGCGGGTTCACCATCAACTCTCGGTCTCGGTGCCGTTATTCATCACTTCAGTTAAAAATGTTTTCGTCAGTGTTTCTCCAGTGTAGATGCAAATTAGTGTCAACATCGAACACCAACGATTTTGTCTAAAATCTACTGCCTGCACTCCAGCAATCCTTACTCGGTGGAGATGACATAAGAAAACTATCTCGAGCTAGAACCATATATTCTAGCACACTAGTCACGGTCGACACCTTCTGTCTAACAGGCCCACTATATGTGCCGAAATCCTCCTCCTCTTCTCCTAGAAAAAAACCCATTCCGATGAAATTATTAGGTGAGGAATAGGGACAGTAAATATAAAAACATTTACATTTAAAGACATTTTTGTGTTCCTGCTAAAACCAATTCAGATATTCAGATGGCTGCGAGACAGCCACGGAAGTATATCAGTAATAAAAAATCTCATGATCACAGACACATAGCAACCTTCTACCTCTTTATAGCAAGGTAGGTAGTTGAAAGGACCACATTCTTTCTATAATTCGAAAGGGAAAACGATCTCAAGGATCACACGAGCTTCAGTAGACTTGAACAATATGACGGAATATTCTGATAAATCCGGATCGGAAGAAAGAAAAAGCACGAGAACGAGAGATCCGATAGATGAAGGGTTGAAAGGAATTTAAATAATATTAAAAGGAAATCAAAAGAGCAAAAAATAGAAGATTATTGAATAAAGTCAAAGCACCTGACGTGCCTCGGAAGGAAATCTACGAGAAAGGCAAAGCAGTGCACCTGAGACCAAGCCCCGCGGCCAAAAGTGGAGTTCTGCGCACCTCCATAAGGCACCAAGAAACTGAGAGACACTCACGCTCTTCCTCAGAACAGCTGATGTCTTCCAAGGATTTCGCTTCACGAGGAAGTTTTGGCACAGTAAGGCTATTTCCAGTTGTGAGAAGAGCGGCGTTTTCCTGGAAAAAAAGGAATTTTCAAGTTGCTGTTTTAATAAATTCGACCGCACTACCTCACCTCGATGGTAGCTTCTTTGGGTTTCTTCATCTCAATGCTGTCTTCTGCCTCTTCCTCTTCTTCTTCACTTACTTCTCGGAAATGTAGTGGTCGGAATGTCCAACCACAAATCACACACAGGCCAAGAACGCCTACAACATCACTTGTCTTTCGAGACTAACTATGACCATGAAAGTCTCAAACTTGATGGCAAATATTGCTACAGAGACAAAAAATGTGTGGTAATGAAGGAGTGATAAAGGTGAAGGAATGAATCAAGGTGCGAGGATTATTTAAATTTTTCCATTTTTCTTGAAAGTGTAATGACTGATTGAAGGCCGCCATTTAACCCTGTTACAGTATTTGCTATATATTTTTGAAGAATTGTTCCGATTTACGTTAGAGATCGATTTTGACCGACAAGTCTGCAAAAGTTTCAGTACCCCTCCGTCCAACACATGAAATTTTCTGAGAAACACAGGAAAATTAGAAGACAAATCATGTATCACGTAAGGGCCGAGCCGTAAAGACTATGAAACCATGTCAGCAAGGAGTTAGAAGAGGAAGGCCCAATTTTGTG